TTTTGTTATTAGTAACTTTATTAGATACATATCTAATCCGGGTCCCGAGCATCAGGAAGCCCTAAAATGGATGTAAGGTAATTAAAGAGAACTAGTGATATAGGCCTGAAGTTTGGTGCTAATAAAGAAGGTGTGAAATTGAAAAATTTTGTAAATGCAAACTATGCAGGGGATAGAGATAATAGAAAATTCACTTCTTCATATTTGTTTACTTTGTCTAACTCTTGTGTTAGTTGAAAATCACATTTACAACACATAGTTTCACTATCCATGATCGAATCACAATATATTGCTACAACTGAAGCAATTAAAAAAGCTATGTGGCTTAGAAGTTTGCTACATGAATTCTATGTTTTAAATTATTATGTGATAGTATATTCGAATAGTCAATCTTTTATATATCTATGCAAAAATCCTATCTTTTACAAACACACCAAATACATTGATTTTAGAATGCACTTTATTAGAGGTGTCATGTCACAGGAAGTTGTAAGACTTGAAAAGATACAACACAATATAATCCTTCAAACATGGACACTAAGGTATTGCCATTGGTAGAGTTTAGAAGAAGCAATGACCTTCTAAACATAGGTGGAGGCAACAAGTTTCAAATTTTATCGGTTCTCTATTTTGGGAGTATTACTAACAACATATAATTTTTCTTTATAGGTCTTTTGACCCCCAAGGTGAAGGTTTTTTGGGCAAATTGTTGTCAAACTACTTCTCGGGCTATGATGTAACTCAGTACACTTTCTCAGTTGGCATCGACCAAAATGATTTAACAATAAATTGACACCTAAATGAAATGACTCGGACCCCAAAAACTGTTTGGGTCATTTGAAGCAACCTAATTTAATTAGTGTTGCTCATGACTCGTTTCCAATTATTTGGACGGCTATTAAATGGAAACCCACTTGGCAATCCACTTACCTCCCTATTGGCTTGATCCATTACTGTACCCTAATGACACCTACTTAACTTGGCCATCCTCTCCCCTTGATTGTATGTATGCATCCCTACTTCTCTCCCTTAGACAGAAAACAGGTAGTTCTCTCTTTGTATTTTTGCCTACTATTTTCTCTTGCTTTACTATCTCTATGGTTACTTCCTCTTTGTGATTATATCTTCCTTTGTGCGTTCTAAAATGTCTTGGTGATCCTCTCTTCCACGCAACAGAAAGTCCACAAGTTCTCATGTTGTATCATGACTAATGGGTGTTATTTATGTATGGATGATTTCAATAATATTAGAAGTGATAACTTCGGGAACAAAAAAAAAGAAAAAGAATAATGTTATCTATCATTAATGGTGCTAGAGCTCCAGTTTAGTGACATTACGTGATATGTTCAATTAAAAGTAAACTTATGTGATTCATTGTACATATATTCAATGACACTTAATGCCATCAAAACTTATGTTGCAACCTAGTGGTATTAAATAGCATTATTTAAAAAATTTATTGTAGGCGTGATTCCCATCAAATCTTTTCTTTCTTTCTTCTTTTATTATTATTATTATTATTATTATTATTATTATTATTATTATTATTATTATTATTATTATTATTATTATTATTATTATTATTATTATTTTATAAACATCAATCACAAATTTAATTAAAAAATTTTAATGACAAAGTATTACATAAGAAACCAAAGGAAAATTGATTAATTTTAAAATATGCAATAACCCACAAGTGGAATATCTATAAAGAAGCTATAAAATTTTACGAACTTTAAATAACAAAGTGTTAATATAAACTTTTATTATCAAAAATAATAAAAACATCCATATGACTCCATTTTACTATTTTCTCATAGTTCTTCTTCCTCTTAAAAGGAAGGACTTTATAAGATCAATCAATTGAATATTGATTAATGAAAATAATCAACATGGAACACTACATTCAAATGGTTAAATATACTAGTCATCACTACACTATTATCAAAATTGTTTTAATTTAGTTTTAGCAAAATTTGGTGCCAGTCATTAAATGTCATTCTAATCAATGTTAGTAAAATTTGTTGATATCCCATCAATTTGACAGATGAGAAGCTGACGTCGTAATTTAGAGCTGTCACATATAAAAAATAAAAAAATTAACTGATGCAATAACATAATTCGAGGTGGTTAATGTTAGGGACTAGACGGAATATCTAACAAAGTTTAAAGACAAATATTAAATGTTGCTAGAAGTTTACTGACCAACAGCATAGTTAATCTCTTGGAAATTGTTCTTAACTATAGCAGAAATTGAGTTATACTTGAAAATTAATTTTATTATTCTAAATAAAGTTACTTGTTTTTTGGTAAAGTTGTGAGTTTTTTTAATGGAACAAAAAATTAGGATGATTTCAATATGCATATATAATCAACCAGAAAAATTGGAAGAAATGTGGAATTATATATGTTAAAACTGTCGAGATGAAACTCATCGGCCGCTCAATTATCTGGAAGCTGGATGAATTGGCTGTAGTTATATGCTTTCACTATGTAAATATATCAAGAAAGGGGATGAATATAGGAAATAAAAGATAGGAAATAGTGCAATAATTAGTTGGTACAATCTTTTTAAGGATGGAAGTACATAAAGTTTCATGACCGAATCATACATTTTCGACACAGAATGTTTTCCAAAATAAATTAATTAAAAACATTTATTAGCCCTGCAAAAATTGATAGGAAAATCTATCAAAAGGCAGCAATAATTTCTATCTATAAAAACTAGGAAATTGCTGCTCAAACAGGAATAAAATCTCGGGTTTGAAGCCAGGGGCCTAGGTGGCAAAATCTCGGCCCCCGATGTGAATCATGCGGGCCCCGCATAATTGAATATCAAGGGCCGAGGAGGCTGAGGTGCTGGATTGAAAACCCCGGGTTAGAAAGCTCTGCTCTAAAAACTATTTTGGCATTGTGTCACAAGGATTAGACAGAAACCCTGGGCACATTTGGTACGAATTGCTTGCTACGTTGTAGTACGATACAGTATAATATTCTAAATATTATGTTTTCAATATTCGAGCTTTATCAAGTAAAAGCACGGTAATTAAACTAGCATAATAATAAATTCGATTTTGCTAGTGGTACATTAAGGTGTACCTAATGGTGTACATCCCACTCACATGGGCGAGAGACCCACTCAAATATTCACATGGGTTCTACACCCATGTGAGTTGGGTGTACACCATTTGGTACACCCCATTATGTACCACTAGAAAAATTCTAATAAATTGGCTCATGATGATGATAATTTTCCAGCAAAACCCACTGTTTGAATTTTGAATGAATTCTCAGACGATCATTTATGTAAAAACGGACCACCTAGCTTATGCGACTAAAAATGTGCTATCCATTCACAAATATCAACTCTTCTTTGAGTTCAAATCTACTATTTAGGCTTGGCTGTCTCACCGCTAAAATTTTAATGTCTTCTTATAATTTTAAGATGTCAAAATTTTAGTGAAATATCTCTTTAGTTCAAAACTAATGGTAAAAAAGTAAAAACTCCTTTATTTATTTTTGTATATATGAAAACTTTTATATTGTTTTTAATTATTACATTAGGAGCACGAAAAAAAATAATTATGTAAAATAATCAGGAGTTTGAATATTAATCATCTCTAAGTTTAGAATTTGTTTGTTGACCGATTAATTATCAACATCTACTTATCATTAAATAGAATTAGTAGCTTGTAGACATGTAGCTCATTTGATAAGGTACAGCTACGGATGTTATATGAAGGAAAAAAACATTAAATCTTATTTATTATACTGTACCAAGCAATCCACCAACGCTCCCTAGATATTCAACAGTGCCTTCGTAGTCAAAATACGTAATTGTTTACAAAGTGAGCAAATTTTTTGGTGCACGATGCCTTCGATCTTTATAGCCAACAAATCAACCCTCGAGCAAATAAATTAGTATATGAAGGGAAAATTATTGGATTTCCTAGTGTTCGAAATTGTCCGCCAAGAGAGAATATTCGCACAAATAAACATCTATCTATAGTACAAAGAGGCGTATCACGAAATAACAAGAAATTGACATATAATTATACATATTGAAAAGGAACTGATTACTCGAATAAACATTTATTAGTTATGTTGCAAATATACCAACCAGAGAAGAAGAGTAAACCTACCCCATATAGCACTAACTATCATATACCAGTAAATTGTGTTGCAAATACCCTTAACAGAGGAGAATACGTTGGACGCATTATAATGTTTGTCGTTAGCACAACTAATATGCTTAATATCGGCAGAAGAACGGGATGAGTAAATGGTCGTTTACCTATTGTCAATATACCTGTCATTGGAGAACGTTACATAAATATCAATGTGAATAATCCATGAACGATGCAGAAAATTATGAGCCATATTAACATAAGAATGAAAATGAAAAATATAGTTGTTACAGGCCTCACACAAGAGATAGATTTTCAAATATGGTGGCTCGATGTGATGGATAATGGTCATATTTTTCATTTTAATGAATGAATAATGGGAAACAAACAGGGGAGAGTAACCAATCTAATACCAAAAGAATATTACATTAGTTAGAATAAATAAAAATTATTTAGATTATTTCAAACAAATACTAGTCGATTATTCTCCCTTTACAAACATTTTAAATATTAACGATTCATAAATAGAAAGTAAGATCAATGACGAAATGTGTAAAATGTACCATAGATGGATCAGTACTGTGTAACGCAGGTATTATTTCAAACCAAAAATATTAAGTATTTACATTTCTGCTGTACAAAATTAGGGCTGAGTCATGGCTGACTAAAATTAAAACTTTTTTCTTCGAAAAAATACAACAGTATACATTCATAAAACTGTATATGGTGATTCCAACGGAGCATTGGAGACCTGTCAAATTGTGGGTCCTATCTAAATTGCATGGCTGACTCGTGGAAACTGGCCATGAAGGAGGATCCATTATAAGACGTCCCCTCTTCCCCCGAAGGGTTATAGCAAATTTTACCAACAAATCCTATACATGGTTCTCAAAGCCATTGTTGTACAGCTCTCTGCATTAAATTCATAATCTGCAGTGTACTCTCAGTTGAAGTCAGCCATTCCATTTAATTCAAGCTTTTCGGTTGCTCCTTTAGGACCTTTTCTCATCTGTTTCTTTATCTATATATGTACTGAATAAAAATTTTGATTCTCAGCAATTTCTGCAGTACAGCTGGTTTTAAAAAGGAACAAAAAATGGGCCATGGCCACCATAAGTGCTGCAACAAACAAAAAGTGAAGAGAGGGATGTGGTCACCTGATGAAGATGAGAAACTCTCAAGGCACATCTCTGCCTACGGCCATGGCTTCTGGAGTGCAGTTCCTAGACTTGCTGGTATTATGTGTAGAACATTAATTTCCACGTATACACACACATGTGTGTGAAAACAGTTTTTGTACCTATCTGGCACAAATTTTTCATTTTTCATTTTTTATTTTTTATCTTTTTAAATGGGGATCAAAGGATTTCACCCATCTCAAGAGAAGGATTGAATCCAGTCTCAATGGCCTGAGAACTCTTTGCTCTTACCACTTGAGTTAGGTATTGGCCTTAGCAGGCCGATATGTATATAAATAGTTACACAGTTTTATTTATTTATATATTTTTTTTGGTGCAGGGTTGCAGAGATGTGGCAAGAGTTGCAGACTGAGATGGATAAATTACTTGAGGCCGGGTCTGAAAAAAGGGAGTTTTTCTCCACAAGAAGCTGCTCTCATAATTGATCTGCACAATATTCTAGGGAATAAGTTAGTCTCATAATCCCAAAATAATGAATTATTTCAGTTACAGCTTCACACAAACTGACATTTTTTTGGTTTTGCAGGTGGGCTCAGATAGCCAAGCATCTTCCTGGAAGAACAGACAATGAAGTGAAAAACTTTTGGAATTCGAATATCAAGAAAAAACTCATGGCAATGAATCTTTCTAATATGGCTCCAGTTTCTGAACTAGCCGCAATTTCTAATCTGGCAAATTCGGCCAGGAGCAATGTTCAAGGTTTGTACTCAGTGAATTCGAACTCTAATCTGATCCCAACTGCCCAAATAGATCAAGCCTACATCCCTGCGGCAGACCCAAATAATCCCCTGCTACAAGGGTTTGATCAGGTGAATTTCAATCCCAATTTACTCACTCCTCTGGCTTCTTTTCCCTTATCATCACTGGATTCATCTGCATTTCATCTGCCGCCCTTATGGATGCCATCGGAATACCAGAAACCACTACTGATAGATCATCGTCGACAATTGAACAAACAGGAAGACACTTCCATGTTCATCACTGGTGGCACTAGGGCTCCACAATTTTTCAACCTGCCGCCATTAACGGGGACTTATGATGATACATCAGCATTTAATGGGCTGCTGGAACTCAGTCAAATGACCAATGGGAATCAGTTTGGGATGTGCTCTTCATCTGTTTCACCAGTTCTTGAACCAGTTTCTGCAGGATTTTCAGGATTCCCTTCGGTCCTTAATGCACGTAAGATGCAGATTCCCGCAGTCAGTCATATCCAGTTCATTCAGTCCGTCATGCCAGCATTCAACTCATCATCTTCCTCCTCGTCCTCCCTCTTGCTAGATCGATCCTTAGACATGGTGGTGCTCGATTGAATTTTCTGATCTGTGGGAGGAATCATTAAGTGCCATGAGTTTAGTTTTCAAGGTTATGAGGAAGGGAAAAAATATGTTTATAATTTGGTATTTTCAGTAGATTTTTCCAATTTCGTGGATGTTCATAAATAAGACTATCTTTCACAATTTTATTTTGTTTGATTATAGTTTCTCAGTTAGCAATTTCTATTTATGATTTAGCCCCTGTTTGACAATCATTAAAATGAGTTTCGAAATAATAATTTTTTGGAGAATGCAAGGTTAAAACATAGAAAACGTTTTAGGTTTACATATAAATATTTTATTACAAGAATGTAATGTTAAAAATGAGTTTGAGAAACAAATAATTATGTTCCAATGGTTTTTCAAAAACGGGCTTTATATATTTTGATGAGAGACCTCAAGGAGTGTTTGTGATGAGTGCATTCTCTCCTAAAGTTTAAAATTTGTGGCCACTTTGGGGTGATAACACAAGCTTAGGTCTGTTTGAGCTCTTGGGAAATAAGTTCCATAATATTTAATTTTTTAAAGAGAATGTATAATTAAAAAGTAGAAAATTTTTTGAGTTAATATATAAAAACATTTTATTGAGAGAACGTCTGGTTATTAATGAGTTGGGGGAAAATGATTTTTTTTTAAAAATGGGACTTAAACATGGGCTAAAATAGTTAAATGCCAACGTTAAAAATTCCATGAAAGTACTAAATTGTTGGTTTAGGAAACATTAAAAACAAAGATTGTCACACATATAAAAGTGCAGAAGTTGAAAAGAAATTTTTGGACCAAATTCAAACGATTTTCCCGTCTCTACTAATTTCTATCTCTCCCTGCCTGTAATCTGAAATTTTCCGGAACTAGCATCCATCGAGAGAATGCTTTTCATTCTGTCTGGCCTCAGCAACTTGAAAGGAATTCAGTAAAAACCCGGGCTGATGTTTCTGGAAATGTTTAGCAGATCAAGCAACAGTTTTTTCAATTATTCGCTAAATTATCTCTTCGACTATGTTCACGGTGAAAGTATTATATTCTACACACAATTGTTGGTGAACGGAATTAATACTAATGAACTTTTTATGTATTGCGCTTTAATTAGCTCTTTGACTCAATTGGATGACGTCTTTACTAATCCTAATGAAAATAGTATTTAGGAAAACCTTTACTAAGTCAATGGTTAAGGTTTTACACTTTTGTTTTCATTACTAGTTAGTGCAAGAAAGGAGGAGAAAACCCTAAATCTTATTCTCCTAGAATCTGGTCGTTCCTATGCACAGAGGTATAGTTCACAGTTTGATTTCATGTGTGGATTGTATTGGAAACTAGACACTTGAAAAGTTGTGACGTTTTGAGATTGGGATAAATCAGACTTAGAAGTATTTGCCCTAGGCCCAAGCCACCTAGGCAAGGGCCGCCTAAGGCCTCAATAATATGGAGCCAGCCGCCCAAAAATTTGGAGCCTCCAATAAAGAGATCATAAATAAGAGGTTTTATCATCCTGAACATAGGCAAGGTAGGCGATATCTTGAGACCCCACTTTAATGAGGGCCCCAAAAAAAATTTTTTTATTTTTATTTTACATGTATTTATAAATACACACACACACACATGTATATAGGGTCCCATATTAACAATTGGTCGAATGCCCCCAAAATTTCAGGGCCAGCCTTGTGAGGAGTTTTGCAGAAATTTGGTATTTGTAAAATTCAGAGGCCTTGTCTAAAATAAAAATAAAAAAAAAAATTCCATCGTTTTCTTCATTATACGATTAAGCTGTTTTCGTGAATTTGATTGCTTCCCTTACCGCATTTTTCCTTCAACACCATCTGTAATGCCGCCAACTTGCACCAGCAACCAGGGTATGTAAATTCTAGCCTTCTCCTGAAAAGTCAGCCCTCAATAGATATGATTTTGATATTTTAAATGACATATTGAATTGAGAAATCTAGAGCATTTTTGGAAGTGATTTTGAAAATTGATTTTTTGACCGTTAGGAGAAAAGTGGGATCCACTCGTGAGAGAAGAAGTCAAATATGACGGCTGAAATAGTAAAATAACGGTCAAAAAATCAATTTTTTGGGGAGAAAAATCGCTCTCAAACATGCCTCTAGGGTTTAATAAAGGCATTTTATGCTTATCCATATTCAAGGTCATTACATTTCTGAATTGAAAAAATACTTGTACATGCTTTCGTTTAAATTGATATTTTTGAACAACCCTAATTGGTTGCTGCTAGAAGTTTAATCGATCAAATAATTGGTTGTGTTGAAATATTTTGGTTTGAATATTTTATTATTTGGTCTCGAATTTTACAAATTATTCTTATCCATTTTTCACGTTCGTTATATTATTGAATTGAAGAAACATCTGTATGTGCTTTTTCTTTAATTGAAGTTTTAAAAATCCTAATTGGTTTCAAGGTCAATTATATCCTATATATAGTGGATCAAACTCTATCACCGCTTTAAAATAGATTTGAGCAATTTTAGAAATATAATGATATTTATGGATTTTTATTTGACTGAAAAATCTTAAATCTATTGATGATGCTAGTTTGAAGTGTTATTGTATTAATCTTTAAAATTATTTGAAGCATACCATGGAATTTGACATTGATGAATAGAATTATTTTATGAGTTGAAAGTTTTAAGGGAAAGCGATATCTACAGAAATCAATGGAGCAACTAATGTGTTAGATTACATTAAGAGAATGAATTGTTGTTTTGGAAATGCTTAGGTTGCTTACAAAGTATTATTGACTAATTCAATTACTGCTGCATTCGTTGGAAGAAGTTTTTCAAAATTAAAATTGTATAAGTCTTATCTTCGACCAACCATGGTGTAAGAAAGGGATAATGAATTGGGTATGATTTCTACCGAAAAAATATGTTCAAAAAAAGAAAATTAAAAAAAAAAATAACACTTGATTGAGTTGTTTGATTATTAATTTTGCATCTCCTAACATAAGAAGACTAAACATTACACTAACCTAGTCTCTCAGATTGTGATAGATGTTTTATTTTGCAATACCAACTTTTGGATTGCACAAAATTTTGATTTAAATATAGATATATATTTTTATTTAAGTATTAGTATTACTATATTTGTAAAAAATTTAAAGTATAAGATCTCATAATAATCAGTCGCTTAGAGTCTCTAAATTCCCATGTTCGGCCCTAATTTCAGTCCATTGTAATCATCGAAAGTAAATTTTTTCATGGATTCTTCCTAAAAGCAAAGATGATCATATTTTGAATATTGAAATTGTTTAATTCCACTATGCATGCTTAACCATATATCGAACATTGGTATCATTGTTCACTGCTAAAACCTGTTGAAAAGATCTAGCATAGGTATAATAAGTATTATTGTGATACCGATTTTGATTTGAACAATGATAGTTGGTAATCTTAATTTCTTAAATCTGCATTTGATTTTTGGAGGGAAATTTTTTTTTGTATATAACTTGAATTGTATTTGGGTTATAGGAAAGGGGACTGAAGTCAATTGCACCACAAGTTAGAGGCTGACAACAAGACTTTGTAAGCAATCATCGCCTCAAGTGAATATCATGACCTAATGGTCTGTTTTCTTGATTTTCTCCAGGTTCTTGTTCCAACTCACTGCTTCAGGGGTTGGTGTGACTAAATGTAAATTAGTCCACCTTACCGTCCTTAATCAGATGTGGTGGCAAAGGAGTCGAGATGGGCTGAAGGCAATGGATTTCGCTGTGAAGATCAATGGTTAATGCCATTGAAATTCACAATGAAATCACCTATCATCTAGGGAGTTGCTATGAGTTGGAAACAATAGCGATTTCACTATTGTGATTTGTTGCTCCACTTTGTAGTTGTTGTCAGTGTTAAATACTTGTGTGGCCACTACAGTACAATCGAACACTAGCATCGCTAAGGTCGAAGCCCTAATTGGATTATGGTTTCAACGTGATGTTAGTTGGGGATAGGATTGTCTTTGCAAATTTAGAATTTTTAGGGGCGCCCTTGCAATTTCTTGGAAAATGGTTTGACCAATTAAATCTTTGACTAAATTGAATTTTGACCACTTTTTATCAAATTTCTTTTTTGACCCTACCCTATTTTAAATCCCCAAATTATTGATTTGGGTCGTAATGTAATTTATTATTTTTTTTTATTGAGAACCTAAATTACTTACATTAACTATTTAATTTTTATTAATGAGATTAAATAATTTAACAGATACATATTTTTAGCAATATACCTAATAATATCCTTATTTAATTTTAGTTTTGTTAATAATTAATTAATAACATTAAATCAACTTATTCAACATGAAATTAAAACAAAACAAAAAATCCATTTTCTTTCCATTTGTCAATAATTCCATACATGCAAAGATTAGGATTATTCAGGTCATCTTTGGCCACTCCTTTTATGGGCATAGGTAGATAGCTAACAATGGTCCATAGAGATGGCATTTTCACTTTATTCCCCTACCTGAACCATTTAATATTGTATTATTTTTTATTGTCAACTTTGATTATAACTTAAATTTCTTTAAAAAAATAACATCATATTCCCTTATTTGAATGGCTATTTCATTTGGTTGTTTCACATATATCCTAATAACTAAATAATATATTTAATGTAAAAAAATTTAATGCTTATAAAATGTTTTTATATAATGCGATAAAATTTTATTTTATGTTATATTTACTCTTATTTAAAAGTTGTTTTAATTGGTAGTTTTAGATATTAATCCCATTATATCTAAGTTTAGATAAAAATAAAAAATAAAAAAGGGGAACACTGGATGATAGAGTAATTATATTACCACTAATATTTTTATTAACTACACAACATTATAATTGCAAAAAATATTTATAATCTTTGCTCATTTTCACACTTAAATCATCAATTATTTTTCGTCATATTCTTATCTTTATATGAAACTAAATATATTATTATAACATTAAAACGTATTAAAATTCTAAACTATAAACAGACAAAACAAATAGATTAGAAATTTTAAAATATTGAAAGAACGTACGATGAAAAAAGATGGAGAGAGCCTGTTGAGGCTATGTTTTTGAATTTTCTGCCAAAGGGATGGAGAGATGACCACTTTTATAATTAATATGAATAAATGAGAAGGGGATGTAGGGTTGCATTGTGTTATTAC